CCGGGTTGTGGCTTAGCCATGGAAGGCAGAGGGTTGGGTTTGAATCACTGCAGGGTGAGGGGCACGCAGCCCAGTGCTGCGTGTGCAGAGATGCTCCTGGGACTGCAGGCGCCCGCCTCTCCCTCTCGGCTGGAATTCCCGGAAGGGCAGGTGCAGGGGCAGTTGTTAGAGACCCACCCTGTGGGCGGGGCCCAGGGGATCCTGCATGGGGGGGATCACCGGCCAGGTAAGGCCCGGCTAAGCCTGAGCAGCCGCTGGGGGCCTGTAGGCGGCCTGGCTGAGCCCGAGTTAACCGTATCTTTCCATTCGGTCTGCTGCCCAAATTCCTTCGCAGCCCAGCTGAGGCGCGGGAGAGTTTGTCTTAGGATCAAGTGCTTCCCCCGTGCACTTAATGTCCATTATTATTTGTGAATCCTGGCTTCATTGCCTCTAAATGCATTCACCAGCTGGGAGGAGGCCCTGCCTTGTAAATAAAATGCGGTTTTGTTGTAAAAGAGGATGAACGTGCTTTGTGTGTGTCTGTAAATATGTACTATTTGGCCGTGCACTTTAGGATTTAACCTTTCGGGACCCACCCCAGGCCGACGTGTGCCTTTGGGACAGCGCCCTGGGCATCTATTCCTCTCTCCTCTTAACGAATCAGACAGTGTAGCAATCTCTCTACCTTATTCGGCCCACAACAGCGAGAGCAGCAGTGTTTTCCAGGGCTGCCCGACGCGGGGAGCTTCCCAGCACAGCCCACAGCCCCCCGGAGGGCACACCTCCGCTTTCACGGGGGCCCAGGTTGGCCCGGCAAGGCAGGGGCTGGTCTGCAGGGCCCGGGTATTCAAAAAGCTGCCTTGGTTTGACGGTGTCTTTTATCTTTCCTGGTGCTTTCTCGTCTCTGGGTGGCAGTTGGGACCGCTCTGCCTGGCAGGCACAGGCTGGTTCTCTGAGGCGGTGCCGAGCTGTGCGGCTGGGCGCCCAGGGGACAGAGGAAGCAGGGTTCTGAGGGGCCGGGCGCGGCCCCACTCGGCCCTTCTCTAAGCCTGGCCAGGTGCCTCTCTCTCCTTTTATTTCTCCCATCAGTGATGCAGCTCTGAGAAGGGACGCACACATGCGCTCCGCACACCTAGCTTGGTGTCCGCCTGCCAGCGGAAATGAAACCACAGCTGACGTTGGGGTGTCTCCCAGGCCTTGGGTGTGAAGTTTTAAGGCTTAGGAGGCCGTCTTGGTCTACCCGCTCTGACCCAAACATTCAGCAGTTTGGGGGTGCCATTGCCACGGTCCTGGGAAGTGTCTCCTGCAGCAGGCCCCACGCCCCACGCCCCAGGAGGCGGGGAGAGGGAACCCCATTGTCAGGTGGGGTGAATGCCCTCTTCACTTGGAGTTTTTCTTTCAACACTGGAAGTGGGGGGAGGGAGGCTTTCTGGTGGGTGTTTTCTGGCCTCCTGGCCTCCCTTGGAGGCACTGAGCTGGATCCTGGGTCAGGAGATGGGCATGGGGTTCAGAGCTGTCTGTGGCTCGCCAGTGGGCCCGGCTGCCCGGCTGTCTGTGGCTGTGAGGGGACTGGAGGCGGAACCTTGAACTGCCGCACAGCGAATGGAGTGGGAGACTTTCAGACTCAGTGACTGGGGCTCGCGGGGCTGGCGCAGGAGGAAGGGGAAGGCAGAGAGACCGCTCAGTCCAGGAAGGCTTACTGATGTTACCCCCAAAAAAAGCGGGGAGGGGGGAGGACAAGGAAGACAGAACTGGTGCACAGACGGGAGGGAGAGGGAGGCGTGCTTGCAAACAGCGCATGCACCCTTACTAATTTTTAAATGAGCCCGTGTTTCTTTCCAATTACAACAGGATTTGAAATTACGTAGTCCCCCCCTCCCCCCAGCAGAGAGAGCGGTGTGCTTCCTAGAACTGCACAGGGGAGCCAGGGACCAGGCTGAAAAAGTTCATGAAAGCAAAGCACACAGCAAGGAAGGGAAACCAGAGGTGACACGGACAGCAGGAGGCCCCGCCTGGCCCCCTGGCAATGCTGGGGACCGCGCTCCGGCCTCCTTCGTCCTTGCTCTCACTGTTAGCACATGGCCTGAGTGACAGGCCGGCGTGCCCGCCCGCCTGGGCAGGCCCTCCTCTCGCCAGGGGACAGGGGCCGCCCACCCTGCCCACCACGAACTCACCCGTTTCATTGGCATTCTCAATTTCATTTTGTCCTTTTTTTTTTTCCTCTTTCAGATCATTTCCTTTGTGCCTCTCTCTCTTTGAACAAAACAATATTTTGACACCCTCCTCCCATGTATTAGAGTCCTTCTCTAGACATGGTGCAGAGTCCGCCCGGTTATTTCTAAAGAGCTGTTTTCACAGCCCTCTCCTTTGGCTCTGAAATTATGTATATGTAATTGGTAATTAAAGGTGTGAGCTTTTCAATACAAACAGTATTGCTCAATGTTAGATCATTAAAGGGAAAAGAGGCTCCGAATAATTACCTTTTTCCGTCCTGACCAACGGTTCACGGGAACCCAGCCCCCCCCCCCCCCCCCCCCCCCCCCCCCCTGGGGTGGGAGGGTGGCGATTCCATTTTCACCGGAGCAAGGCATCTTTTCATAAAACCAATTGGTAAATTAATTACGTAGCATTGTCTTCCAGCTCCTTTCCAAGTCACCTCCCTTTTCTTCTTAAAGCGTAATGAATGGTTTCTGGGGCGGGCGTTGTGAAAGGTGCCTCTCGTACCTTCCAGGGTCTTTCTGTTGGAGGGAAGCAGGCGCAGGTTTAGGATTTCCTCATCTGCGGGGTGTTTCTGTGGGGCCACGTTTCGAATGCGTGTCTACGTTCAGTTCATGGAAGGCTCAGTCTGCTTTCCTAGAACCCCAGGCAGGGTCTCAGACGCCCACCTCCCTTCTCAGCGGGACCTACTCGAGGACCCACACACTCATGTTTCATACGTGTTCCGTGCCGTGTTCCGACGACCGTGGACTCAGTCCTGCACGCGGACGCGCACAGGCCCCGAAAGAAGCCCGTGTTCAGAAAACGCAGAGCAGTGATTTATGTATAGGATGAGAGATGCCACAGGATTTTCCCCTGAAATTATCTGTTCTTTGGCTCGGGCCCGCCAATAACTTCACAGCCACGGAATGTGTTTTCTCCCTTCCCTTCCTTCCCTCCATGCTCCTGTGGTTTCCCCGATCCTTTCTAAACGGCTCACAGCTTAACATGTCCCTGCCCTCCCCCCCTGCGGTGTCCCACCTCTGAGGACCCCGACACTCGTGCCATCTTCCCGACCACTGCCATTTGCTCTCAAAAATCTCCACCTCGAATTCACTCAGACCCGGAGGGAGGGCGCAGCTCCCTGTCCACGTCCCTGATTTATGACACCTTTTCTGCTGCCGAGTCTCCCAGTGCCCCCCGAGGGGGTTGCCGCTTTCTGAGGTTTCAAAATATTTGTGTCCTATGCCCCTTACACACAAAAAAAATACGGAAGTGTATCGGCTGCTCAAGAAATGGGAAAATGTACGAAACCCATTGGAAGTGTGGTTTGTCATCTGCCCAGAAATGCCTCTGGAACCTGAAGGATTTTCCCCCCTTTTCTTTTTCTGGGAGCGAGAGTGACACCAACAGGCACACGGATGGGACAGGGGCAGCTGGCGAGTGCTGGGAAACCTACCGAGCGATGGCCTGACCCGTGCCGGGTGCCGGGGACGGCCCGCTGCCCCCTGGCCGCCGCCCTGTAGGGCCCCTTCCCTTCCCGGCCTCGCTCTTCCTTTTGATATTTCTCTTGGAACCGACACTCACTTGTTGCTGGGCACGCGGGCTCCTTTCTCTCAGCAGGCCTGGGCCTCTGACGGCCGCCTGCGTTTCTGTTTTCTCGTCTGGTGTGCAGCCAGGTCTCAGGTAGAGGAATGCAAGTCGGACTCGCATGAATGGGGAAGCCATGAATGAAAGATGGAGGCCAGGGGGGCGGCAGGGAGAGCCCCCGCCGGGCCAGAGGGCTCTGGCTCCTGGCTCTCAGCCTTGGCTGCCCATCGGCATCACCTGGGAGCTTCAACCACAGCCACCACCGGGTGTTTGGCTCCCAGGGTCCTTGGCCTGGGCGTGGAAAGTTTTCCAAGATCCCCGGGTGACTCTCAGATGTTGCAAATTTCGAGGGACACGCGCCCCATCTGGGATGGCTGAATCGCTTGTGAAACCAGCATGTGTGTTCGGACGCTGTGGGGTGGGGGTGGGGGTTGGCAGAGAATCCACCAGGAAGCAGTAAGGTCAGCCCTGCTTAAGCCACCAGCTCAGGGAGCCATGCCGTTGCTCCCGGATCCTCAGTTTGCCCATCGGCCGCCCACCTTCGGGGTGGTGTACCCCTGCCTCCGGGAGTCCGGGGGAGGACGTGGCGAGCTCTGGCGTCCCGCAGCGGAGGGGGCCTGCCTGCAGGTGGGGACGGGTTGGAATGCAGGCTGGGTGCTTGTGACTGCCTAAGCCCATCTCTGTCTTCTCTGCCCCCCCTCTCCTTTCTCTCTGCAGCGGAGGCTGACCATGTGGAGGCTGCCATCCTTGAAGAAGACGAGGGTCTGGACATAGAGGAGCCCAGCGGCCTGGGGCTGTTGGTGGGTGGCCCCGACCCTGACCTGCTCACCTGCGGACAGTGTCAGATGAATTTCCCCCTGGGGGACATCCTGGTTTTTATAGAGCACAAGAAGAAGCAGTGTGGTGGCAGCCTGGGTACCTGCTATGACAAAGGCCTGGACAAGGGCAGCCCGCCGCCCTCCTCACGCTCCGAGCTCAGGAAAGTGTCCGAGCCGGTGGAGATCGGGATCCAAGTCACCCCCGATGAAGACGACCACCTGCTCTCGCCCACGAAAGGCATTTGCCCCAAGCAGGAGAACATGGCAGGTATGGCACGTCGCACTCGCCCGGCCGCTGCACCAGCCACCCCCCGTGTCCCATGCCCACCTTCACCCCTGGCTGTGTCGGGTGTCGGTGCCGGGATGGCCTGGGAGCTGCCCAGGATGGCCTCCGGGCCACCCGCTGGGCTCGCCCTTTCCGAAGGCCCACCGTCCAGGTGACCCTCAGGAGGAGACGGGCCCAGGGTTCAGGGCGGCCCGGCCGGCTGATGGTTGCTTTGCTTTGGACAAGGGGGCGCGGCACAGGTATGGCCTCGTGTACAGGTGGCCAGGAGTGCAGAACGGGAGCCTGGAAGTCTGGCTGGCCCTCACGGTGGTGCGGTGGTTCATAGCTCCGTCTCTGGCTTTGGAGATCCTAGTCTTGGGTTGGAATCTGTGCTTCACAACTCGGCCTGACTCGTGTCCGCATCTGTGAAATGGAGCCTGCGACTCCTCTTTCCTTAGGGTTGTTGTGAGCTGGGGGGGCTGCATGGGGGTGGTCCCTGGAGGGCACTTATGAATGGGGTCGCTCCTTTTCTCCCCCCCCTCTCTCTGGCTTCCGTTTCCCATTTGTGCAAAGAGGCTCCTTCTGCCACTGCTTTGTCCCCGTGGGTAGGTCTGGGAAGGGCTTGTGGGCACTTGCTGGAGCACTGTGCCCCTCGGGGAGGTTGGGCGTGCCCTTTGGTCCGCCGACTGAGCTTTCCGCCTGAACAACAGGTATGGGGCTTGTGGTCTCCGGTCAGTCTGCTCATCATGTGGTTTTGCATGAGTCCCTCTCTCCAGGCTCTGGCCATGGCCTGCCAGATCCTCTTCCATGGGACCCAGGCTCTGTGCAAACCAGAGTGCTTGCTCTGGTTCATCCTTCGGAGCCCAGGAGACCTCGGGGACAAAGGAGGGCTCTGGCCAGCCCGTGTCCCCGAGAGCGGCAGCCTGTCTCACAGCCATATGGCATCAGATTGGGTGCAGATGAGGGTTCAAATCCTGATGGTTGGCTTTGGACAAGTCGCTCCTGGGCCCCTGCCTCAGTTTCCCCATCGGTCAGCAGGAGTGATGACACTGGCAAGCCTGCATGAGGATTACACGAGCAGCGGCTCCGTGACTGCTTTGCCAGTGGAATTTTTCTTTGGGGCGGTCCCCTCTGTGCTGCGGTGTGCAAGTAGGTGTGGGTGGCCGGCTGGGAAAATGTGCGGATCCGTCTCCACCGTGATTTGGTCATGGAAGCTAGTGGGGAGGTTGGAGGGACTGAGGCTTTGGTGGCCCTTGGAGGGTGAGCCAGGTAAGCCCACAGGTGAGATGGGTGTGTGTGTGTGCAGAGATCCCCCCCGCCACCAGGAGGCAGTGGGTACGGTAATACAGCAAGCCCAGCTTCTCTGAAGCAGCCATGTGATTGTGGGCCTTACTTTGCTCATCTGTAAAATGGGATCAGTGAGCTAGATCTCTCTTGCAGGGAGACTGTGGCGGTCTGCGCTGGGGACACTGGCCTGTGGGCCTTGCCTTCGGGTGTGTGTCCCAGCAGGAGAGCTCCCACACTCCTACGGCACCAAGGGCGCTGAGGAAAATGTCCCAGGCCGCGGTCATGGAGACCCTAGCTTTCGAGTTCCGTGCAGATCTGAGTGGTGCTTCCTGTGTTAAGTCTGAGAACAGTGCTGGGTCCCTTCGTCTGTGCCGTTGAGGTCCCCACCCTTTCTTTTCTCAATCGGATGCGCGAAGATTGTTCTCCCCAGCGGTACAAGCCCCTGGCATCGGTGCCCACCGACCCCCGGGGGGCTCCGCCGGGGGCCGGCTTCCTGCTTTTCCCAGAAGCCCTCTGAGTCCGCATTTCAGGTGGCAGGTGGTTCCCAGGGAGAGGCTGCCGACCATGGAGGGTATGTGTGTTTAAGAAAGCGACTAAATGTGATTTCATAAAAGGCCACACTGATCTCCAAGGCGCTGTGTCTCCCTCCCCTACACCCTCCCCCCCTTTGGTTGTAGGTGGTAATACGGCAGCAGCCTCCAGTGTTTTTGCTTTATGTGACCAAAGGTGTTCGCGGCCTTTTCTGTTCAGATACAGGACGAATGGCTTTCTCCATTCCTGAAGAAACATGTGAAACAATCCCTTAGAAGGCTAAAGAGATGTGTCTGTTCAGAGCATTTAAAGTGGTATTTTAATCAAGGGCACAAAACAGTCTCCGTGCCCTGCCAGCCGGAGACGGCCGTCCGTTCGACAGCCCGCCACTCTCTTCTCTCTCTTGTCCCCCCTTTTCCCTTCCTACTTTGGCACCAACTTCTCTTTTTTTTATTATTATTATTTAATAAAAAGGGAAGATTAGAGAAGAAAACTTCAGGGGCTCAAATGTATAAAGTAATTTAATATGGTGGGAGCATTAATTATTTTAGCGTAATTGAATTCTGAGGACTGCAGCGGTTGCATTTCTGTCGACAAGCCCTGTTTATTATTTCTCTGTGTAGATTAACAGTAAAGGAAACACAGATAACTTTCAGTTATTTATTGTAAAATAAATGTGTCAATTCATGTGTAAAGCAAGCTGCTCAGAGATAATTGAGCCTTTAGATTTTAAGAGGGGGGCCAGGAGCCACAGGCGCTGCTCCCCGCGGGCTCCCGGAACCCCGCCCAGCTGCTGCCCATGCTGCTGGCTCCGCTGGCCGCGCCCAGGCCTCTCCGGTGGCTGTTCATTCTTGGGGCCTCACCTCTGGATTGGTGTCCGAGGTGAGGTGCTCGAGGTGGCCAGGAGCGTGGTGACTTTCCTGGGGGGCATTCTGCGTGTTGTCCCCCGTGCTGCCAGGTGCTTCCGGAAGCTGCGATCCAGAAATGGATGGGCAGGGCTGGCTTGTCACTATTCGGGGTCCCTTCCACTCCTGTGGGCATCCCCAGTGAGAACTACGTTGGGATTCTGTCAGTCATCGCACCAGGGCGGGACTTCGGATCACCCTTTCTTGGACAGTAATTCTGGGGATGGGTAGGAAAGGATTCCTTACTCTTCCTTTTTATTATTATTATTTTTTTAATGGTAGAGAAATAGGAGAATGGAAGGAGGAAGTTTCTGAAGCTTTGTCTCTTGAGGGCATTCATTCATTCAAACATCCATCCATCCGTTCATTCATTCAGCAACTGAGCGCCTACTGCCCTTCCCCCCCCCCCCCCGGTAGGGGCCCGGAGCGTGTGGGAGGATGGCCGTCAGGGCTGCTGCTCTCTCCCGCGTGGGGAACGTGGCCAGAGTGCGGGCGGTTAAGTCCCTGCCCTTGATGTGTGGAGCTACAGGCCCAGGCCCTGCTCCCTGAGCGTCCACTCTGGGTGAGGAGGCCCGTGGTGTTTGTGTCCCATCTGGGGACAGAGAGGTGAAGCTGGTCACAGGTGAGGACCTTGGCTTAGAGGTCCGAGTCGGAGGAAGGCATCTGATGCTGGTACCCGCCAGCCGATGGAGGAGTTCTTCCCTTTCTTAAGATCCCTTCCTGCGGCCTCTCCCTGCCTCTCTGAGCTTTCTAGTGGAGCTCTGGGCGCATCCGTCAAGGGGAGATGAGACCCTGGGAGGGGCCAGCAGGAGGTTCCAGGGTTTGCACGGAGCAGGGGTCCCTGAGCCGCTGTCTGGGGTGGGCGTTTCGAGGAGGGGTGAGGAGAAAGGAGCTTAAGGGGCTGTGGGGCTTGTGGCCTGCTGCCTGGAAAAGCACCCAGGCCAGATGTGTGCCACCCGGCTGCCTGCCGGCCTCGCTAAGCTGCAGTGCCCGCATCTGGGGACATACCTGACAGTAATGGGGACTCTTAAGTGACATGTGCTACACATGTGAGCGCCCTCCCCTTGCCCCGCCCCATCGTTTCCTGGGGTTCTGAGAAGCCCGCCATCAGAAACAACTTCAGCACCACTGTGGTGCTGTCCTGTGTGTCCCCACCCTGCCGGCCCCCATCCTGGTCACACTGCTGTCCTGGGGTGAGGCGCTCATGGTGTGCCGCCCTGGGAGGGTCTCGGGGGTCGAAGGAGCCAGGGCTCGCTTGGGCATTGGCTGGACCCAGGAAAGTCAAGTCACTTTTCTGGGCCTCAGTTTCCACGTCTGCACCTACTTCCCAGCACACGCCGAGTTAAAGCACACGTCCAGCTGGCGGTAGACGACGGAAAAGGGGAGGCTTTGAAAAAGCCATGCTCGGGAGGGCGGGGACCCTGCTTGGTGCACGAGGTGTTTGCTCTCCTCAGTGGACGTCTTGAATGTGTACCGTGGCTCTGTCAGCCACGTCCTCGCGATCCCTCCTTAGAATTCCCACCTCACAGCCCCGGGAGGGGGGGGCTCTTGATCACAGGTAACGGGTTCTTGCGTGCTCTCCCCTCTTCCACAACCAAACGAAGCTATAACGGGAGGAATGAGCCATCAGCCGTCACTCAGAGCTTTGCCTTTTGCCTTCTCTTCCTCCTCCCCCCCAGACCCCAAATGTCAGGTTTCTGGAGACAGGCAGGAGACAGGCAGCGGGTGACAGGAGGTGGCAGGTCCCCCTGGGCTGGAGGTGGCAGGCAGTTCCCCGCCCGCCCACAAGTCTTCACCCGGAACCCCGAAGGCCAGGGTGGGCCTGGGCGGAGGGCGGTGCAGGCAGCAGGCAGGGCGCGGACAGGGGGTTCGGTTTGGAGTCCCGGTGACCCATTGCAGGACAAAATGCACTGGGGAAAAAGGGCGCCTCATCAGCTGGAGGATTTTCATGCCGCTCTGAGACTTCGTTTCAGACTTTTAAAAATAAATAAAATAAGCGTGGGGGGAAAAAAAATTAGCTTGGCCGGTAGCAGAGACGAAATAACTTGCTTGTGCTGGAAACTCGAGATAAACTCACTTGCAGGTTGTCTTGAAAAACTTGCATTTGATATATTTCGAGTTGTTATTTTCCCTCCAAATTAAGATTGGTTAAATCCATGTGTGTTGTGGCATGGATTATCTTTTTCTATTATTAAATCGTGACAGCTAATTATTAGCTCTGCCTACACCAAGGAAGAGGGGAGTGCTCTGTCAGAGGGATGTGGCCTGGGCTCAGGCTGC